ATATGATGCTCGGTTTTTAAACTTATCGTGAAACATGTCGAGGGATTACTACCTTATTTTTGACCAAGTCACCGAGCAAGTTTGTAGACTTGTAGAAGGGAGGTGTACCTTTCGAATCTCGGCCAGACCAATGACAATCATGACTGAGGTGCTTCATGGTTATCCCCATTCATTCGATATAAGTGACGGGTTGGCACCAAATTGCCAATTACAGTGGCCGCGCGGCCTAAGGCACGAATTGTCTTCGCCCACTCAAACACTTGGGTTGTGGGTTCGAATCCCACTCGAGGCATGGATGCCTATGTGCGTTTATTCTGTGTTTCTCTTGTTCTGCGGGTAGGTAGCGGCCTTGCGACGGACTGATCCCCCGTCCAAGGAGTCCTACCGTCTGTGTATAGGTTAAAAACTGAAAAAGCTGCCAAGGCCCAGGAAAGGGCTATAGAGCCGTAATAGAATAGAATAGTATCCAGGTAGATCACGACCACTTTCTTTCCAATTATTTTCCAGTTTATCCTTCGCCAATCGTCCTGCCATGCAACCCCAAATAGTCATATACAGACTCCGTGGCCTCAATCCGCAAACGAATTATACCGACCGAGCGACAGCCGGTTGTCGGCGAAGTTAGTGCCAAGTTTAGCGGATAGAGGGTGTCGCGTGGTCAGCGCAATGAATACCCCACTGCCGTTGATCTCGGTTTTCCAGACCGGAGCCGCTGTTTCCTTGAAATGTTTCTTCAGTTATCCTCACGAGGCTGAGTGAACCCCGTTCCAGACCCACTACTCAGAAAATCTGGTAGCGCCGAGAATCGAACCCGGGACCTCAGGATCTGTATCCAGGAACTCTGCCCACTAGACCAGATACAGACCGCGTCGTAAAATAAGCCACAAAACCCAGTCCCACCTCACGCTCCAGTGGCCGAATGCTTCTTGGTTTCACCTTGCGAAATTCTCAATACTGATCTGAGACCATGGCCGATTTAGGTTTCAGTGGTAAGCCAGAACTCATGTCCATAATTATATGAGCAATGTGTCAGTTTTTATGCACACAGTCCGAATGCTACCGGATCGTCGGTTCAAAAACGATACGATGTTGTCTCTTATAACTTTATGTGAGCTGCAGCGAATTGAGGTCAGTTAGTGTTGAGAACTTGCGTGCATAAACCCTCGTCCTTTCTCTTCGAAACACATTATCACATGCAAAAGCTTCGTTGGTATTTGGCTTGATTCACCGTTTCCGTCTGGCGCATAGCCAAATGGTGGTCATACATAATTAACCCTATATATCTCTTGTTTCAACGCTTTATGCATGTATTTAAAGTCAAATGATGCATACCATCCATTTGTTCTAACCTGGAAGGCTCACCTAAATAACAGTATACAGAAGCACTTGTTTAAGGTCTTTTGACTACAACAGTCGGATCTAGCTATCCATCCAATCTATCTGTGTATCTGTCTATCTATCTATGTATCTATCTATCTGTTTGTATCTGTATTCATTCAATGTCTCTACAGCCCTTTCTAGGGACTTGGCCGTNCTACAACAGTCGGATCTAGCTATCCATCCAATCTATCTGTGTATCTATCTATCTGTTTGTATATTTATTCATTCAATGGCTCTACAGCCCTTTCTAGGGACTTGGCCGTTTTTTTTTTTTTAGTTTCTTAATCTTATACACAGCCGGTAGTACTCCGTGGGTGAGGGATCAGCCTAACGCAAGGCCGCTACTACACTCACGACAGCACAAACACAGAATAAAAGCACACAAACATCCATACTTCAAGTGGAATTCGAACTCACGATCTCAGTGTTTGAGCGGGCGAAGACAGTTAATACCTTAGACCGCGCGGCCACTGTGGTCGGCCAACAGTCTGATGACTCAACCAAATTAACTTTCTTACGTTTCTTCATCTGTAACATTAAGACCCAGGACGTGAAAGCCCGTTGGGAGTCTCACTTCTGATCTAACCACCTTATTCTAGTTCTCCCAACATTACTACTTCTCTTCAATCTATATTTTATTGTTATCCTCCATTCTTTCCACGTATTATCTGCACTGTATGCTGTGTTTCTCTGTATGCCTATCCTTACCACGTTAGCTACCCGAAGTTGCTGGCCAGTTGTGTCATTGTTTATGTGGTCTCTTGGAGTATATCCAGCAACTGGCCCAAGCAATCTCTTCCCTTACTTCAGTACGTGTAATTAATTCCATGATGTTAAGTCCTTGAGAAGCTAATATTTGCAGTTTATGGGAACCGAACGCTCATTATCAAGTCCACCAGAACCTTCAAGTGGTTCCTATTTCGAACCAAATGAATTTAATTCACAGCTTCAAAATATCTCTCGTTAAATTCCTTTTTAATATTATCCTCCCATCTACATTTAGGTGTTTCAAGTGGCATTCTCTTACTGTATTGCACGAAAATTATAAAATTCTGTGCCTGAAACATTCACCTAGTGGTCTCTGATCTCTCGAGCTAAGAATCACGCTGACCAACAGCAATGTTTATGTGCGCTGCAAATTATCCCACTCATTGTACTGACGTTGCGTTGGTATTGACTGCCGTCAAATGTGGTGACTTTGTGCCGCGTCGCTTATATCACAACGTGAAATCGCTTTAATAGCACGGTTGATAAAATGACGTCACGTTTTGATAAAAGTGACGTGGCACAAAGTCATTCCATTTGACGGCATGAAAAATTAAAAAAAAAAATACAAAAGAGGTATGTCTCCAGTGACATGACATTCATACCAAATTTTATGAAAATTAGTGCATTGGTCTCGAATGTCATTAAGTGCGACACGGTCGGCAAACGGACAATATCATAAATCTTTGCATCTTTATAATAGGAAAATAGTTTAGAAACATTATATGGAATAGGTGTAAAGATATACGTTTAGACATAAGGAGAAGCATGGTGATCTGCCGCCTACACAACTACTGTATGTAATTGTAATGAATTAAATTCAGTACTTGCGACATGTTTCGATGTTCCGGTCATCAGGCTGCATCGCATTTGTCTGCCTCATTGTTATACGTTGGTTTATTTTAAATCTGTATGCTTGTGGTTATGTAGATGGCGTGTCCTCGATATGCTAGTTACAAACAGTATAATGTTCCAATATAATATTTCATTTGATACTCAAATTAGTGGGAGCCGAGATAGCGTAATCGGTATAGCGACTGGCTACGGGCTGGATGACCGATGGATCTGAGTTCGAGTCCTGGTAGGGTCAGGAATTTTCTATTCTCTACGTCGTCCAGACCGGCACCCAACCTCCTATCCAATGGGTACGGGGGCTCTTTCTCCGGAGTAAAGCGGCGGGGGCGTGAAGCTGACCACTCACTTCCAGCTAGTGCCGAGGTCAAGAAAATGTGGATCTATACATCCACTCCCCATACACCTTCATGGCGTAATGCTTGATGACAAGGACAACTTTACCTTTTATTCAAATTTCTTCCTTTCCAGAATAGACAGTAAACCGGTCCCTGCATCAGTCCTGATTTCTCTTCGGAACAGAAACTGTAAATCGCTTTTGTTGGACTCTGTTCGCCATTCTTGCCTAGTTCTTTTATCGATTCTTCTCTTTGTAAATTAATTCCGTCCCTTATCTGATTAACTTATTAAATAAGTAACTTCCTGTCGGTAGAACAAGACGAATCAGTACTATGTCATATTACCTGTGACCACGTGTGATGCATTTTATTTCATTCTTCGTCATCCCCCCATGTAGCGCTTCCTTTTGGTATATCCGAATGAACTCAACCAGACGGATCAGTCATAATTATTTCAGAGTTCATGTGTAGACCACGCCTTCAGAAACTGATATGGCTGCATGTCGAGTAATGGAACTGCCTGGTTCTGTGGAACAAAGGTCACCGACAGGCAGAATGTTTTTCCTATACCTGATCGAGACTTGTCCGCATAATATGGATCTTTCGGATTTTATCATGTGTGAATGATTTGGGGGTCTGATATATAAAGTGTAGGTCATAATAATATTAAAATCTTTCGTCTTGGACCTTGTCTGAGTTTGATTTTCTAAAGATTTGTCATCTGATTTAGTACACCACAGTTATATTGGGTGTCCATTGTCTGAAGTTTATTTAATTAGGGCTGCACGACATTTCGGTTGTTTATTCTGCTTCCTTTTCAGGCGTGTACCTGCCAATATATATATATTAGGAAACTATTTGTGACTATATATGTATGTTATCGAAATTTGTGTGTATATTGTGATGTTATACCTTGTACTATTTTCGCGTTCTTTGACAGGGACAGCTCAGTGTGTTGTCTGATGCATAGAGATGGCACTTCATTCTCTATTTTAACTTAGAAAGGAGGGAATGAGGTAAAGTTATTAAAGGGGCAAAAGAAAGAAATTCAACGGATGAAGGATGAACATAGAAAATAAATGATTTTCCGTTGTGTTTCATTGGGGTTTTCCACCTATAATGTTTATGTTTGTTGTTAATTACAGTGGTGATCGTTACCAAATTCCGAATGTTTAGAATATTAAACGTGTATTCTTGCTACTGTTCCAAGTGGGATGTCAGTATAATGGGAAACACATAATTATAGGAGTATTTTTTTTATTCTTAGTTGGGTAAGACTGAGTCCACTTGGTACTGCGGGCACTACTGGCCTGCTGTACCAGCCCCAGCTGATAGATGATGGTGGTTGTGGAGAAATTGGTGGAATGACGATTGGTAGGGGAAACCGAAATACTCGGAGAAAACCTGCCCCAGTGCCACTTTGTCCACCACAAATCCCACATGCCCAGACCCGGGCTCGAACCCGGGCCGCCGCGGTTGGAAGCCAGCGACTAACCACCTTCATGACAGGGCCAAGTAAAATTCCAAAGCTTCATGTAGACTCATAAGAAAGGCAATGTCGAGCACAACAGCATAACTTAATGTGATCTGTTGATGTAATTTGTATCAAAATCAGCTTTGAAGAGCCTAATTACAAATTGCGTCCTCTGCATTTCTGTTGTACAGAAACTTGAGCAAGACGATGACGACAAGTATCTCAACGCCGCATGGGCAGATAGCGGAAGTTTGAGGCGTTCCTTCCAGGGGCTGTCCAACATCTCCTGGAAACCCAAGTAGAGCGGCATCAAGAGCAGAGGATAGTGCTACATTCAGCTGTGAGCTTCAGTGGTTGCAGAGCTTTCTTGCTTAACCTCTCTGCACATATGAGTGTATGCTGATGCGTCTGAAACAAGCAGGGGGCCTTGGACATTATAAGGAGGCCTGATGTGGGTTATTATTGTTATTATAAGAATTGAAACATGAATAAGAAATGTGCTGTTACCATAGCAATACCAGGAATTTGTTATCCTGATTATAGATGTACGAGTATATAATAACTGCTTGGTTTCATTTCCTGTTTGTTCGTTTCGTTTGTTGCTTTTGAATATTACTGCACACACATACGGGAGAGAGTGTGAGAGAGCTTCAGCATGCAGAGGAATTAGCTACTTGAATATAGTCTTATGAATCTGTGCTTGTAGCATGTATCATGAAGTATTTTCCGAAAGGTTACTTTTGTGTAAAAACGAAATCCCTGTAATACACTTAATATTAATTAGTTCTACAGTCTTGTGTGTAACAATATATTAAAACTTATTAAAAGCTAGTCACTTTCGACCATATTGGCCATCATCAGGTGTTAACAGTTGTGGGTGAGGACACTGCTGTCTTTTTCCCTTGGTGCTTGACGTATGGTTCTCCTATTGCGTTTGTGTGTCTGTATCAAGTGTAAATTCTAATAGAAGGATTTACACTTGTTACAAACACACTTATGCACTAGAAGAACCGTACATCAGCTAAGCATCAACGCAGAAAGACAGCGGTTTCATCACCCACAATTGTTAACACCTGATGATGGCCACTTTGGTCGAAACATATCATTAAAAATCTATAAAGTGACTAGCTTTTAATAAGTTTCAATAAATTGTTGCACATAAGACTGTAGAAGTAATTAACACTAAGTGAAAAGCGCAACAGGATGCTACAATATAATATTACCCTGTAATACAGATGGAAACCGATACGGCAGGGTCCATCCTTTGTGGCATGCTGTACTTATACATATATATTATATATATTGAATTTACATTTTTATGAAATAATTGTAAGCTTAATTCATTAATCATGTTTAAATTGTTTATGTTTTTCAAACAAGGTACTTCGGGTATTAAATGAAACAAACCGTTAGACACGAAAAGTTTAAAATCTTGAAAACTCGTGTGATTTATAAATTAAGCGAAATTTAAATTTTATAACTGGAGGAAGTCGTTATGCAGTAATGCGATGTTAATATAATATGACGGCGTTCTATTGTCTTAACTACTTTTATATATATATATATATACATGCAAACAGTAACAAGAGAGCATAATGGCTTATATTAAAGTATGTTTTTGTTTTGGTGCCATTGTAAGCTGTAAAAATAAGTCTGTAATTTTAAAAGGCACAACTATTGAAACATGAATCCCATAACATTAAGGAAATAAAGTACAGTTCGTACGAGACTATAGAAACAACAAGGAATGAACGCAAAACGTTCTATATCAATTGGATTGCAGATAATGACAACCACTGTAACTACTTCAGTAGGTGAACATGCAAACTTTTGTGAATCAATGATCGAGCAACATTTTCGAGCATTTTTCAAGTATCAAGCATGTGTCTGTTCTGCTGGTTTCGATCCAAAACCAATAGTTAGCCGAACGTTTGGTAACATAGCTTAGTCTCATGCCGATCAAAGTGGCCGCGAGGTCTAAGGCCCGAAATGTCTTCTCCCGCTCAAACACTGAGACCGTGAGCTCGAATCCCGCTCGAGGCAGGGATATCTGCGTTTATTCTGTGTTTGTGTTGTCCTATATAGGTACCGGCCTTGCGACTTGGCTGATCCCCTATCAAAGGAGTCCTACGGACTGTCTCTAAGATTCATAGTTCCTGAATTAAATTTGAATGTTAACAGCTCAGAGAGCCCAATCCATCAAGGCAGAAGAACTTAGCACCATCATCTACGTGTATGTGCACGCACCATTAATGCACGTTTGTGTGCTCTTGTATGTGTGTGCTCCCCTTTCCTAGTTTAAGACAGTGAAACTTGTATTGAATTTTAGAAGATTTATGGCCCATTAATATATTCATCTATTTGTACTATACAGAACACACATAATTTAATGCTGGGCTTCACTTAAAGCTCTGTAAAACTTCCCTGCTTTAGTATCTCGGTTGTTAAATGTGCCTGCACATTCAGACAAATTGTTTTACTGTCTAGATTAATCTGTTATTACAGGCTTTGAGGAAGGAGTCGTTACACTCTCACTTCAAATTTATCGCCAGTTGCATTACACTTATATGTCTGAATCCTACTTGCAATTTATTATAATGTAATTAATGATACCCACAAATTGTTGAATTAATTTTAATGTCTTATGGTTTTTTCCTCATTGGAAATTTACTGTGCTTGCTCGCATATGTGTCGAAGCCGTTCAACATATAACATATGATTTCAGATGAAGCATAGTTTAAAAGAAAATCATGAAGGGTAAGAGAACTGGAAGATTTCACAACGAATCCGGTGTTTCCGAAATTACTAGATGTTTTACTTTGATGATGAATTGTACAGTATACAAAATCAAGATAAATAAATGCTGTCACATTGGAGATACCGTGTGAATATTTTATGCTCAATTTATGGAATCTTCTGTATATCATGTAACAACAGCAGCTTTGTCACTTGGTAGAATACAATTTATATTCGACCTTTTGATCCATATATCTTTATTTGGCTGTCTGAATTTAAAGTGCTGGCACAGAAATCAGAGAGGCACTTACATACTGTGACATGTTGCGCAACGGAGGACCCGTACCTCCCCAGTGGCACGTGGCGGTAACGTAGCGCTCTCGTAATAGGCGAGTCATCACCCCACCACTCTCCCCGCTCGGCTAACTTCGGCTCCGCTCGGCACGTCACCGCGGGGAGAGTGGCGGTGTGATGACTCGCCTATTACGAGAGCTCTACGTTACCACCACGTGCCGCTGGGGAGGTAAGGGTCATCCGTTGCGCAACATGTCACAATACATTCTTACATAGGAAAAATAATGGGTTCTTTTGTGATCCCACGCCAATAAGAATTCACAAATCAACATAAACGTTGAAGTGGGCTCATATTCAAAAATATGAACTGGAAACTGCGTTAATACTGCAGTGCCTTCATAATAATTTTAACCATTGTTGCAATTTTGTATTATTTTATGGCTTGCATTTTACTTCTTTCATTGTTGTATCCTCGGATCCGGATAACCAGGGCGTTTATTTCTCGTTTACAGTTTTATTTAGTCCGATTTAAAAATTAATGACAATATATTCAGAATTTGGAAGACCGAGTTTGTATTAAGAAATAATGTTCCGCTCCTATATCTTATACGTAGCATCTGTTGTTTGGCATCGTACGTGCAACACAGTCTGGTAGCCAGTCAAGTACAGAATTTACAGAGTAATATTGATTAGTATTATTTCCAAAACTGCACAGCGCGAAGAATTATTTGCCGAGTACGGATAATATGCAGAAGCGCAGTCTGCCAGTCGTGCTCTGTTAAGACCTACCGTATGCACCAACACGCGCCGTAGTATTTCTTTTCTTTTTCTGATCTTCTGTCATTTATTCTTAAATAGCCAAACCCACTGCTTCCAAATATATCATAATCACCATCATCGCCATCATCAAAAGAAGTCGTCATGAAAATTCCTGTCATATGTTAAAAGCCATATAGTCTCGTGAAAGTCAACCGACGTTTCAGAGGAACCTATCGCCTGCATACTCGGGGTCGAAGAGTAATTCAAGCAAGAAACAGCAGAAGCACGCGTCTAGCTGAGCCCGAAATCTTCTGTGGTTCTGCTACTGCTTTATTATTGCAAGCAGTGACTTCCATTGTTCCGTTTCCTAATGCTAACTATAGTACTGGGTGTGACAGCCGCAGCCATCATCGATGTTTTCTGTGAGGTTCGAACTAAGAATTTAAAGCTGGCCACATTAGCCATCCCTCATTCCCGAACCTCTGTGGTTGTCCCCTCGTGATCGGGATATCCCCGTAAGGGTGATCCCTAAGAAGAACGGGAGATCCCGTGAGGTCTCCCCCCTCCTAAATATGTAACAAGGAATAAATAATTGAAAGAAGGGTACGTGTACAACAGCGTGAAGGTGTAACACCATCTGACATTTATATACTGTAATGAGTCCATGGGAAAGGCCCTACGGATTAATTCCCACCCTCTCAACGTCTCCCTCGAGCTGTTAGGCTCTCCAGTACGGCGTACTTCCCTATGTTCTCTCAAGTTGTCTAGCCAACCTGTTCACAGGGATACTGGCAGCGATTGCAGCCTGCTTTTGTTGGTTTCATGCTTGGCTTACTCTTCAACCCTGAAGATGGAGGCAACACGTTTCTCTCAAACATCGGTTGATTTTCACCGGACTACGCAGCATTATATTCTAGAGGACAGAAATCTTCATAACCCCCGCTGTGAGAACCTCGTATCCTGCAGAAGTCGCCATTATCATCATTGCTATGTATGTAGTTTATAATAAAATATAACATTTAGTGTACTGTGTTTTATTTAACATATGAATGAGTGAATAATTTGTTAGGTTTGTTACAGTTTACGTTCTGAGATGCCGTAGTTTGACTTCCTGTTCCTACGCTTCAGCATCCCAATTAAATTACTATTCCCATATTATAGAACTCATCTATTATATATCAATATTTTAATCATACTATATTCTCTGCTAAGTAATACTCTTCTAAATTTATTTATATCTCATTCTCGTTCTTTAATCATGCATTCTGTTATCCCATGTCTGTCTTTCCGTCGATATTCCTAAGCTTCCTGTACAAAGTCTCGTCTCGTCCCTCCAAATCTCTATTCTTCCTCACCTGCAATCATCCTCTTTGCTGTATATGGCGCAAATCCCTTGTTCATTGTGCCTCCTATCTCCTTGTAGTCTCCATACTCCTATTTTCCACCATGTTGTTCTCATGGCCTCGCGTGTTCCTGAGTTCATGTACGTACACCTCATTTTTCCAGTTGCACCACAAGTATTACACAACATTAGAGAATTTCTCATCGTAACTTCCTTGTGTTGCCTTTCTGTAACAATAGTACTCCTTACCGTATGTAAATCTCATAATGTTTATGGTCTTATTATGCTTTTTAATTTGTACTTTGCCTTCATTTCATATACAGTGTTCGTAGGTGCATTCATTTGCATGTAATAAAAATCTATATATCTAGATATTAATGGGGGACTACGCGTATGTGTGCACTTATGGGCATCAGCCCATAAGATATTATGTTTGTCCGAGATGGATTTACTTAATCCGCTTTTCTTGAGGGACCTAACGTCTGCATTGCATGAAGCTTTTTTTATTGCTAGTGGGGTGGGACTAAGTCCCTTGGTCTGCGGCCACTTCTGGCCTATTGTACCAGCCCCAGATGATAGGTGAGGGTGATTGTGGAGCAATTGGTGGAATGAAGATTGGCAGGGGAAACCGAAGTACTCGGAGAAAACCTGCCCCAGCGCCACTTTGTCCACCACAAATCCAACTTCACCAGACCCCGGGATCGAACCCAGGCCGCCGCGGTGGGAAGCCAGTGACTAACCGCTTCAGCTATGGCGCGACCCTGGATGAGGCTTAACTGTACTGCCCACACTTCCTTCTTATAACCAGTTATGTGAATGATTTTATATCACTTCATCTTCAATGATGGAAGGCGTTTATCTTATTTATTTTGTAAGGACATTAAGGAAAAAGTAATTACAAATGTTAGAAAGAATTATCTTTATCTCTGTTGCGTTGGATTGAATCAATTGAAATCCAAGCAGTGAATTATCATGACCTTGAAAATCCGAAGAAAGAACTCATATCCTTAAATGTTATATAAATTGTGCCTACAAGGTAGGAATTGAGAATTTTAAGTAAATATGTGTGCAAGTACCCGGTCTAGAAAACCGAAATTAACAGCCGTGAGGATTCGTTGCGCTGACCACGCGACACCCTCTGTCTACTAAAGTTTGCACTAATTTTACGTCTTACTTTAGGGACATGCTCTGTTGTTTAATGGTTAACCATTTTGCAGGTAAATTTAATTTGTATATATTTGTCTATCCTGTTAGATATATATGATACTTCAACAGCTATGGAAGCCTCCTGCTTTATTGGCACATGAATCTCCTTTCAGTATATAACAATATTAAATATTTACCGAAGCTGATATAGCGTCATAAAATGATACCTGAAATAACCTTCATTATACTGATGGAAAAAAATATATGTATACACATACAGGCCCTACATATACTCTGTTATATTTATGTACGTACACACAAAATTGGATCCAACATAAATCATGGGTGTGATTATTTAAATTGCCTTGCTAGTTTCCTTAGCTTCAAATGAAGCAATATGATATATCTAGGAATTGCATACATGTGGTGGAGTACACTCGCAGCTAAGCAGAATTCAGCGCTTACCGCTGAACTTTCATGTGCAACTGAAAAGCTGAAAATCCGGAATGTTTTACGTTAATATTAATTTGCCTTTACTGGATGCTGAGGTTTTGATGAATAGATGTTACGAGTTGTGGCTTCTTCATTGTAACGGGCTCTATCCGCACAATTCAAATAATTCACTTAAGCCGGCTGCTTATATTTAATTTAGCAAACGTACCTTTTATGACAACGTAACGTCGTCATTCATGTTTGAATTTCAGTTGGCGTTGATTGTGTGTTGTAAAATTGCAGATCGTAAATTATGGTTGTTTGCGGCGATTATCATTTGCAGTCTATTGTAGATGCTACTCTAAAAATAGAAACACAAATGTAATTAGTTTCGTATTTTAATGGGAGTATGTTTTATGTTAAAATGCGAAAGAAATCTGTGACCTGCAATAAAGTATGTACTTATTGTGAAGTACGTATATTGTAAACCAAGAGAGTAAATAAACGAACAATGTGGAACGTTTAGTTTTTCGAGATATTCACATCTTTTAAAAATAGATGTGATAGAAGCAGTGATATTTATGACAGAATCAATGTAGTTATATATTTACTGCGTAACCGAAGCATGTATAATTAAAATACACGAGCGAGCAATTTATACCGCCCACCTACTTACATTGTTGATCGGTTATATGTTCTTTGTTGTAACCAAAATCAGATGCTCTTGGAAGTGAAGAGTTACTTGAGATTCACATGTATATTCCTTGTCGCTTCGCTCAACTTTGACCCGTGATATAGGAGACGTAGTTGTTTAAGAACAGCCAAATAGAGTGTACGTTATTATGGATTGAAGAAGCATAAGACATGGTTCGACGAAAAATGCTCAGAATTATTAGATTAAAAGAAACAATCAAAATTGCAGTGGTTACAGAATCCAAGCGAAATAAATGGGGATAATCTGAACAATATAAGACGTGAAGTCAGCAGAAGTACAATGAGACAGTACATCAGCTATTCATATAATTTAAGAAAGCATATGATTCAGTTAGGAGGGAAGTATTGTACAGTATTCTAGAGTTTGGTGTACCCGTGAAATTAGGGTGGTTAAAAGTGTTAAATGAAATCTGTAGTAAAGTCCATGTAAGTAAATCTGATAATTTTCCAATC